AGGATTCCACATATCACTATTCTTTTCAAGTATGACAGAATTAGGTTTCTAATATAAAAGAAAGTTTAAAATGACCCCTAGGATTTCCTGCAGCCAGATGGTCTAATATCAGGTAGCACTTACTCTTCAGTTCAACCTGTAATATCTTAAGTGCCATTTAATATGCCCTAAAGTCCATTCGCCAGGAGTCAGATTTAACTCGACAGCTACAGGTTGGTTTTGGATTCTTAAAGTGTGTGATACTCATACTTATAGTTGATACTGCAGAAAAGAGGAAAACTGCCCCACAGGGTCTCCAAGTTTACAGAAGCAGACTGCCACATCTTTCTCCCGCCGAGCCCTGATAGCGCGGTGGTTAAGCGCTCCGATGCTAACCTTGGCTTGTGACTCCAGGGCTTGGTTCAGTAGAAGTGCTTTCTCTTTCAGCTCCAGTTGTTGACTCAGCAGGTCTTTCTGTTCCCCCTAGATAAAACAGCAATTACAAAAAATTCCCAAGACACAAATTAGCTCATTCAATCCCTACAAAAATCCTCTAATGCAGGTAATATTGTTATTCCAGTTTAACAGACATTGTTACTGACTTGCTCCAGGTCCCACCGTTGACCAGGTACAGATCCAGGAGCCAAACTAGCCAAACCCCAGAGCTTTTACTCTAATCTGTTGCTTCACAGTCTGTGGGAAAAGATCAATTTGTAAAATTGCCAGTCTATCACATTTAGATATTCAGCAGGCTGAAATAAAAGTAAATAACTAGAGAGATGATATATTAAAAAAATATATATAAAAGCCTCCATTTAGTGCCGTTAAATTCAACTGGCATAAAATCGCTCTGTGAGATGGCTATGTTTTTAAATCCTTGCTCTGTGTGTCAGTTCTTATCACATCGTGAACAGTAGCAAACACTTCTGGATGACACCAGTCTATGGACTAGACTTTAAGTAGCCCTGCTCTCACCTTGTCATTATTACCAAAAAAATTCTCATTCTCATTGTAGGCAATATAAAATAAATGTAATCACCCTAAAATTAAATCATTTCCCTATTCCAATTAAAATTAATCAGTTTGTTAACTTGTACTACTGTAGACTATATCTTTTAACACATTTTTTATGTAAACTATATCTTATTCTCAAAAGTATTTAAATCATAAATTTTAAATTAGGAAATTTGCTAAGGGATAATAAATATAGGAAAAATAAAATCAAGCCATGGATTAGTTTTAAAAATGCATAAAAACAACTGCCAGGCTTAAGACTAAAGTTAACTTTATTGGTATGCAAAGGAGTTTGGATTTATCCTAAAAGCAGTCCAAAAAACTGAGGGAGTTTAAGCAGTAGAATAACATGATGGTAATTGAGTTGTTGGAAGTTCCCTTTGGCATGCCATTGACTCAAGTGTAAACTGGGAGGGATGTGAGCAGAAATACTAGAACAGTGGTTTTCAACCTTGATCAGTATCCATCACCTAAAGGGCTTATTAATACAGATTGCTGGGCCCCACCACAAGAGCTTCTGATTCTAGGCAGGTAGGCCTGAAAATGTTCATTTCTAACAAGTTCCCAGGAAATGCTCATGGTGCTGGTCTGGGGACCACACTTTGAGGACCACTGTGTAAGAAGGTGGTAGGCTACTGTAGAAGCCCTGAACAAAAGCAAAGTCAAAGGTGATACAGAGGAGAGGGAACTTAGAGAGGTATTTAATTATTTGATGACTGACTCCATAAGGAATAGAGTGAACTCAAGTTGGTTTCTTTGTTTTTAATCAAAATCATCTAGGCTTAAAGAATGTCAATAACATTTGATTCATGATACCAACAAAAGCTGAAATTCAGTCAGTGATGGAAGACGACAAGCAGTCTCAGTGGCTTTTATTGCATGTACTCTCTTACACACAGAAT